TTTAAAACAAACTATTAGCAGTGTAACTTACTGAAACCCTGTTTTTGCCGTGGGAGAAAGGCGAGGGACGAGAGAAAAGAGGTTGTACAGGAGGTGACCTTGCGACCCGGAAGAAAGTTAGAAATAAGGAAGAGAGGGGCGGACCTGTTGCGCTAGGACTCCTGGGAATTGTAGTCTCGAGCAAGCACAAGGGATCATGGGAGCCGAAGTCTTCCTGGCAGATGTCTGGGAAAAAACACTTAAAACTCCCAAAGAATATAGATTTTAAATTGCCTGAGGGCAAAGACTTGTGTTTGCTTTGTACACTGTTGTATTCGTCGGAACTTGACCCAAGGCCTGGCACACAACGGGTGGGTTATATAATTTTTGGATAAATGAATGAAAGAAGAATCAAAAAATCATGACAGGTTCCTAAAAGGGGATGTCGCAGTGGATTATGGGACCTGTAGTCTGCAACCTGGCGTTGTGCTGGGGTTGATGATATAATTATTTATACTTAGGCTTAATTATATTGGGGCATACTCATAGTAAAAAAGTAACTCGTTGATAATCAGAAATTCAAATTCTACTGAGTGTCTTAAATTAATATTTTCTAATCTGCCCACCCTAAGAACCCAATTGTCCCTGGGTCAGAGGCCTTAAGGGTCATCAGTAACTCATACCCTCTGTACGGATGAGAAGGTTGAGGCTATAGGGTGCAGAACACAATGGCCCTAGCCCCTAGGCTCTGGTACTGTTGCCTAAGGAGTTGAGCCTCCCTTCTGTCCCAAGTGAGAGGAGGCAGTTGTGTTGACTAATAACATGAGTTCAAGTCCTAGCTCCTCCACTTCCCAGCTGTGTGACCTCGGGCAAGTCTCTTCACCTCTCTGAGCCTCCATTTCCTCAACTGCCTGCCGAATACGATGATAAATAATCAAACACTCTTCCCAGGCTAGTCAGGGGTGTGTGAGGATTCAGTAAGATAGTTCACGTGAATGCACTTTGAAAGGATGAGGTGTACATGAAGTGCTCAATAAATGCGGGTATTACTAGAATGCACCAAGCTCATGCAGCCTTGGAGCTGCTGCATCTTCTCTTCCTGCAGAACCCTCACAGACACCTCCTGCTTTCTGCATGGGTAGGCTCTTACCAAAAATAACATTGGACTCTTAGTTTGGTGTTTGTCACCCACGCCAAACTGTGACCTTTGTGCAAGCAGGTGCCAGGTTGTTCATAGCTGCAACCCCAGTGCCCAGAATAGAGCCTGACACACAGTTATTAAGTGAATGAGTGAGTGAATAAATGAGTCATGAACACCCTAACACACCAGCCCATCCCTCCCAGCTATGTCACCTGCTTCTGGCCATCCCCAGGTCTCTCCAGGTGGGGGGAGGGGGGGGGTCCCAGGCCAGAGGAGTCCAGAGTGGCTTGGCAGGGCAGGGAGAGGGGCGAGAACTCATTCTGGCCCAAGTGATCTTCATCAGCAAATATTTATTATCTGCTTCTCCATCTACCCCTGCTCCTCCCAGCCAGGCTATGAACAGGCAACACACACACACACTCACCCAGAGACAGAGCAAGAAAGGGGCCTGAATCTGGCTCAGATAACGAGACTTGGATCTTAAGGCTACCCATGCCACCTCCTCCCCTGAGCCTTGGTTTTTCTGTCTGTAAAATCGGGAGTTTCAACTAATCCTGCTTTGTGGAGGTGAAACCTTGGAAACCAAAGAATAACTTGAAACATTCATTCTTAGTTTTCCAAAGAGGGAAGGAACTGATATTCATTCATTCATTCATTCATTCATTCATTAAAAAGGCAGTAACGACCAGGGATCAAGAAGTCACCTGTCTGAGTCTGAATCCCAATTCTGCCTCTTCCCAGCTGTGTGAACTTATGTGTTACCTAACCTCTCTGGGTCTCAGTTTCTCCATCTGTAACATGAAGTTAATAACAGTATCTGCCTCCTGGAGGTTTTGCAAGGATTAAATAAATTAACACACAGGTCATTAGAACAACTGAGTAGTCTTTAAGGCTTCATTGTTATTATGCATATATCTATGTTACCAAAAGCAAGTTCATTCACAGCGAGGACAAACAAACCAAAACTTTGGGAGTTGGAGCAGAGAAAGGTTTACTGCAGGGCCATGCAAGTAGACCAATGACTCATGCCTCATAAACTCATACTCCCCAAAGGGTTTCAGCGAAGCAAGGTAAGACAGGGACGTGGTTGATTGTTGCAGACTCTTTAGGGTTGGAATCCTTTGTTCTTGCAGCTGGCCTCGAAGGACAGATGTTCCTATAACCTCCAATGAGACAAATGTTATTCTCTGTTCTGCAACTTTTTACCTCTGTATGAATAGATTCAAGTTTCAGAGCCTTGAGGACAGGCTCTCCTGTATATTTCAGGCTATAATGCAACATTCTTGTACAAAAGGTGCAGAATCAGCATGACAGGCAACAGGGCACAAAGGTGAAAGTAAGAGGAACAGATCTAATAGGGAGTCAGATTTGTTCTTCCCTGTTACAAAAACACGCTTCCCAAGTGGTGCAATGGTAAAGAATCCACCTGCGAATGCAGGGGACAAAGGAGACACTGGTTCGATCCTGGGGTCTGGAAGATCCCCTGGAGGAGGAAATGACAACCCACTCTAGTATTCTTGCCTGGAAAATTCCACAGATAGAGGAGCCTGACGGGTTGCAGTCCACGGGATCACAAGGAGTCAGACACGACTGAGCACTGCGCACAGCACATTACACAAACATGCACAGTTTGAGAGCCTTTATATTCCTTGCCTTATCAACATCCCAAGAGGGCAGGAGATAGCAGTATCTCCATTTTACAGATGAGGAAACTGAAGCCCGTGGTGCATGGCAGGGCTGGGGAACAGCAATGGGTCACAGACACCTGAGCCACCTAAGAGCAGAGGACTGCATTCATGAGGACAGCTCCACCTCAGTTAGGGAGGTGGGGAATAAGGAGGTGAAGAGGTTTCAGTGGAAGGCATGCTGCTGGAACCAGTTATACCAGAGCTCTAGTTCATGGAGCACCTCCCATCTGCTGGGTCCCATGCTGTGTTTGGGACACAGCAGTGACCCAAACACTGTCACTAACTCCCCTATCATGGAGCTCAAAATCCGGGGGAGAAGGTGGATGTGTGACCAGGTGTGATTGGAGCTGTGATGGAGATGCATAGGCAGATGTGTGAGCCTGGAAGAGGGCTAAGGAAGAGGAGAAATCAGGGAGATTTACTGGAGGAGGTGATGCTGAAGCTGAGACCTGAAGGATGCACAGGCCACTCTAGTGGGGTTAACAAAGACAGGTGCAAAGGTCCCAGATGGGAAGGAGCAGCAAATAGTCCAGTTCAGTCAAAGCAAAGTGTGACACTCACAGGGAGGAGGGGGCCATGGGGCCAACAGGCCCAACTCACACAGGCCCGGGGTTTCAGGTCAAGAGCTTCAGGGCAGCCCGGGGTTCACTCACCCCAAATTCCGCCAAGACCCCACCCACCTTGTCACTGTTCCACCCCACACGTGGTCAGGAATCCGGAAAATATAAGAAGTATCCCAGGTTATGAGTTATCCAGGGGGCGCTCTGGGAAGGGAGAACCCACCTGCTGATGCCCAATGCAGGAGACACAGGAGACATGGGTTCGTTCTCTAGGTCAGGAAGATTCCCTGGAGAAGGGAATAGCAACCCACTCCAGTATTCTTGACTGGAGAATCCCATGGACAGAGGAACCTGGTAAGCTACAGTCCGTGGGGTCGCAAAGAGTTGGACACGACTGAGTGACTGACGCAAGCATGCAATCCTAGCTTATACATGCTTAGAACTTTCCCCTCCCTGTCCCATAGGACTTCTGTGATGATGGATGGATTCTGTGTCTGCATTATCCAAAACAGTAGCCACAAGCCACATGTCCCATCAAGCACTCAAAATGGGGTCAGTGTGACCAAATGTCATGGGCCGAATTGTGTCTCCTCCAAAATTCACGTCTCAAAATCCTAATTCCCAACACCTCAGAAGAGGCCCTTATTTGGAAATAGGATTTTTATAGGTATAATTAGTTAATCTGAGTCACACTGAAATAGACTGGCCCTAATCCAATAGGATTGGTGTCCTTATGAAAAGAGGAGGGACTGCCCTGATGGTCCAGTGGTTAAGAATCCTCCTTCCAAAGAGATATCATGTGTCATCCCTTACATGTGGGCTCTAAAGAGAGATGATACAAATGAACTTACAAAACAGAAAGAGACTCATAAAGGACAAACTTATGGTTGCTGGTTGGGAAGAATGGGGGAAGGGATAGTTAGGGAGTGTGGGATTGACATGTACTCACTGCTACACTTAAAATGAATAACCAACAAGGACCTTCTATTAGCACATGGAATCCTGTTCAACTTATGTGGCAACCTGGATAGGAGGGGAGTTTGGGAGAGAATGGATACATGTAATGGATGGATACATATATGGATACAAATGGATGAATACATATATGTATGGCTGAGTCTCTTCCCTGTTCACCTGAAACTATTGCAATGTTGCTTGTTATTTGGTTATACCCCAATACAAAATAAAAAGTTGAAAGAATCCACCTACCAATGCAGGGGACCTGTGTTTGATCCCTGGTCAGAGAACTAAGATCTCACGTGTTGCAGGACAACTAAGCCAGAACACCAAAACTAGAGAAAGCCCTTATGCCACAAAGAAGACCCAAAGCAGCCAAAAAAAAAAAAAAGAGTTGAGAATTTGGACACAGATGTGCAGGCAAACAGAACCCATGTGAAGATGGAGGCAGAGATGTGGGTGATGCGTCTACAAGCCGAGGGATGCAAGACGGCCAGCGAACCCCCAGGATCCACAAGAGAGGGCTCAGAGGAGCCAAGCTTGCTGGCACCTTGACCTCAGACTTGCAGCCTCCAGAGCTGTGAGCAAAGACATTTCTGTTATTCAAGCACCCCCCTCCCCAGTCTGTGATACTTGGCCACCGAAGCGCTGAGAAATGCACTGAGAAACTGAATTTTGAAAATTCATTTTAATTTTAAGTAGCCACATGTGGCTAGTAGCTGCTTTATTGGACAGCACAGTCAACACATCCATCATGCCATCCCCTATCCTGCAGGGTAGGAATGGAGGCTCAGAACAGAGCTGTCCCTTCTGGAGTGGCAGACAGGATGCTGCCGCAAGGACTTGGCAAGACGGAGGCAGAAAGACCCGTGGGCACTGTCTGGGCTGGGTGGATGGAGACAGAGAACTTCCCACTAGCCAAAAGTGGCTACATTCAGAAGGTGTCCCCCTGTAGCACTGTGTGATACCATTGCTGCGAGTCCTGTGGACTGCTTAAATTCGAACGCATTCTAAGTCAGTTTCTTCAGTCCCGTTGACCTCTTACTGAGGGCTCAGTAGCCATACGGGAGGGAGGGTTCCCATACTGGGAAACACGGATGTAGAACATTTCCACTCTCGCCGGATGTTTCTTGGACACACTGATGCCTGCTCGCCACAGCAAAAGCACTGAGCGAGTACCGACAGCCTCCTGCAGTGAGTTCCGTCTGCCATCAGCCCATTTTACAGATGGGGAAGGGAGAGGCAGTTAGTGCTAAAGCATCTCCCTCTCTGTGGGACTCCAGACTGAGTCCCAAAAGATGCAGAAGCCAGAGGTGGGGGGAGGAGGCTGCCCAGAACCCAAGATGAGAGATAGGGCAGGCAAAGGGGAAGTGAACGGGAAGGGGTGGGTGTCAGTGTCACCGCCCCCACCCCCTCCTGGGAGCCTCCCAAAGTTTACACCCACCTTCAACAGAGTGGATCAGTCACACACATGTGTGCACAAGCACACACCCTCAGACAAGAGGCTTGCCACACGCAAGGATATCTGTGCACACCAGCGCACGCTGCTCACCAGCACAACTTGCTCTGCCCTCGACCTCTCTACCCCTCTCTTAACACACACTTACAGTCTCACCCACACCAAACCCCTTGCTGTCACAACCACACCCCCCAGCACACAGACCCATGGCGCTGCCTGGCCACTGGCCCAGCTCCAGAAGACCCACAACCCTCATACATTCCCCTCACACCAGCTGTGAATGAGGGACCGCACCATTTCATCCCACCACTGAATTTCCTGTTCCCAGGGCATCCACCCACTCCCCCCCAGCCCACCCCCACCGAGGCCCAGAGAGGGGCTGGGACTTCCTGAGTCACACAGGAGAGGGGCGCACACAGCAAACCCCTTGATCTCCAGTTCAGCGCGCTCTCGGTTCCAACCAGCCATTGCCTCCCGCTCCACAACCACTATGGGAGATCCACTTGGTGCCAGCAGCCTCAGGAGGCTTCCGGGAGCACCGCGGGGCCCTGGGATGCAGGCCCCTGGCGGCTAACCGGTTCCTTCCTCTTCTTCAGGCCCGACTGCAGCATCCCTGCACGGGAATCGAGGCTGCTGAATCACCACCCCGACCTTGGGTTCAGACACTCCGCACGCTAGAGACACTGGTCAGGGGCTCCCGCATCCGGAAGCTGTGCGATCGAGAACCCCGAAAACTGTCCCTCGGCCTCAGTGAGCTGTCGGTGTTGGAGGCTGCAGAGTGAGCCTCGACGGCCTGAGCCAGGCAGTCCCCAGGCCCTCGAAGCCCTAGCCGGAGACACGCGCCGCACAGGAAGCCCACCACGGCCCGGCACACCTCCCGGCTGCGGAAGGAGTAGATGATGGGGTTGACCGCCGAGTTGAGCACGGCCAGCGCCAGGATCCAGTCCATGCCCCGCAGGTACTCCTGCGCCCAGACGTTGGAGCCGAAGATGTCAGCCAGCAGCAGGCCGAAGAGTGGGCCCCAGCACACCACGAAGGCCACCAGGATCATGAGTACCGTCTTGAGCAGCCGGCGGGCCTTGCGGCGCGCCGGGGTGCTGGGCGCCTTCTGCCCGTTGGCGCGCACCACTCGGAAGATGGCCCCGTAAAGCATCATGATGGTGGCCAGGATGCAAGCGAAGACCACCACGCAGAAGAGGATGTAGTCCTTGGAGTAGAGCGGGAGGAGACTGGAGCAGCGCTGGAAGGCGCACACGCAGTTCCAGCCGAGCAGGGGCAGCAGGCCGAGCAGCGCGGCCAGCAGCCAGCACAGCCCGATGAAGCTGCACACGCGGCCCCGCTTGGTGGCCCCGCTCTCGGCCACCGGCCGCACCATGGTGGCGAAACGCTCGCCGGCCGTGAAGAGCAGGCTGAAGGTGGAGGCGGCCAGCGCCATGAAGAGCAGGCCCTCGCGCAGGAACCACTGGGACGGCGCCAGGCGGAAGGTGTGCGCGCCCGACAGCAGCACGTTGGCCAGGTACGCGGCGCCGGTGAGCAGGTCGCTGAGCGTGATGTTCACCAGGCAGTAGTAGACCCAGCGCCGCGAGCGCATGCGGCTGGCGATGGCCACCAGCACCAGCAGGTTCTCCAGCACCACCAGGCAGCTCACGGCCACGAACAGCCCTCGCAGCACCCCCAGGCCGGCCTCCTCCGCTCCGGCGCGCCCCGCCAGCCGCCCCGAGTGGTTGTAGTGCAGGACGATGAGCCGGCTGTGCCCGCCGGCCGCCAGCAGCTGGCAGGACTCGGGGTCCCCCGTCGGGGTCCCCGTGGCGTTCATTGCGGTCCCCCTCCCCGAGGGCAGACTGAGGCCCCGGGGTGGGGTGGTTCGTTCGCCCCAGGCAGGGTGGAGCCGCTAGCCTGGCCCGGCCTTGGTTTCCTGTTATTTGAAATTTCCTGTTATGTTCAAGGTACCCCCCTGGGTGGGGGTGAGGCTGAGATGGGGAGGGGCATCCAACGGTCGGCTCCCATCCTTACTCCCAGAGGGCAGGGCGCTGCGGTCAACCCCTGCCGCCCCCTTCCGGTCCTCGAAAGCCCATTGAGGGTGGGGTGCCCGCCCCCACCCCCTCAATCCCTCTAGAGGGTGGATAGCAGGCTCCTTTGTGGCACCCAGGCTGGACGACTCTCCCGCCCCCACCAACAACTCCTTGCAGGCTGGTCCAACTGTTCCATCACCTGCTCCTCAACCTCCCCAGGCCCGCCTGGCACACAGTAGGTGCTAAATAAGTGTGTGCCGAGTGGCTGCACACACAGAAGCACCGCCAGCTCCCGCATCGATGGTGCAGTTTTACCCCCATCTTATCCTCACAACAGGGCCAGGACCGAACAGTTCTCAGAGGGGAAACTGAGGCCTGGAGAGGGGCATTCCCAGGGGAACCCTGCTGAAGAACACACAGCGGGGAGGTGAACCCCATGCACCCACACACCCACGCTGGTCTGGATGGGGGGGACCCTCCTTACCTGGGTTTTCTGTTATTTTCCAGCCCCTGAGCTGACCTTGCTAGCAGCAAAGCCGCAAGGAACCCCCACCCAGGGCAGCGCCTCACCTCTGGAGGAAGGAGAGGTTCACAGAAGTGGGGAGCTCACACCCGAACTGCTCAACCTCCCTCGGACTGACTCAACCTGAGAAGGTTGAGGACCGAAGTGTGTGGGGACAAGTGGGGGAGAGGAAGTGGGGGGTGATGTGTGGAGTGATGCTGGGGGAGCCTGAGGGGGGAGGCACAGGTATCTGAGGGTCTCCCGTAGCCCCCCTGAGTGGAGGATGGGCAGGACGTGGGGCCTGAGGGCAGCCCAGGGCTTGGGGCCCCGCCCTGCAGCCCTCCCCTGAGTTCACTGTTCAGCTCTGGAGCAGGACAGTTCCAGGGATGGGAGGGGGACTGCACTCCAGAGGCAGCCACATATAATCACTGGAGGTGACCAAGCAGAAACAGATCTGAGGTGGGAAGGGGGTGGGAGGAGGGGCTATGCAGACAGGCGGGGAGAGCGAGGAGGGCACGAGCAGTGAAGTCTTTGCTCAGATGCTACCCTGTGCAGTAGGACCACCGAGCCCCAGTCCCAGCCTCACAAGGGACCCCCGACCCAGGCACACTCAGAGAGAGACACATGCATAGTCTGAGCCTGGACCCTGGACTGAACGTTGACCCCAGGCTGAATCCTGACCTTGGTTAAGCCCACAACCATAGGCTGACTCCACCCCTGACCCCTGACCCTTGCTGAGACTTGACCCTGAACTGAGCTCTGATTGCAAGCTAAGCCCTGATCCTATTGAACCCCAACCCTGACTAAACCCCATCCCCAGGTGAGCCCCTGACTCAGCCTAGAAGAGCAAAGAACTAGACTGAAGTGTTATGAGAGAGCAGGGTTTGACTAAATTGAGGCCAAGCTGTCCAACTGTGGTGACCTTATGCCATGAATTACCAGCTGCTTAGGTGAAAAGTCATATGTGCATTATAACTTATTTAAACTTACTATTATCCTTATGTTACAGAAGAGCAGTCCCCCTTCAGAAATTCATCCTGAAGACACAGCTCTAACAATACCCAAGTGAGTATGGAGAAGGTTATTCATTGTTATTTGTAAATGCAAAATATTGGAAGCAACCCACATGTCTGTATACAGGAGAGAGACTGATGTATTACACTGCACTTCAGAGTGGAGTACTACACAGCCATGAAAAAGAATAAGGTTCATTTCTGTGATGGAATGGGGTGATTTCCAGGACATATTGTTAAGTTGAGGGGGAACAAGAGTATATAATATGTTACCTTTTGTATAATAAAGAAGAGGGAATAAAATATCCACATATTTGCTTGTTTTTGCAAAATGAAAGGTAAAGCAAGAAGCAATCAAACTGGTTACCTACAAGAGTGACTGGGATTGAAATTTAAGAAAGGAGGGGATAACATCCTTTGTATTTTCCTTTTGTTATAATTTTTAAACTGTTGTTGCGTTCTATATTCAACGAAAATTTAAATCAACAGCAATGGAGGACAAAAGCTTTAAGATGGAATATAGAGACATCTCTGGTGGTCCAGTGGTTAAGACTCTGCACTTCTGCTGCAGGGAGCATGGGTTTGATCCCTTGTTGGAGAACAGAGATCCCACATGCATGCAGTGCAGCCAAAAATGAAATAAAATAAAAGGTGGGATATAAGTAGAAAACAAATGAACTGAATGATATTTTAAATGAAAAACATAACTACCCAGAAATAGAAAAGAACAAACCTACACAACTTGTGGACATGGTACTGATTCTAAAGACAAAAGGAACTGCAAAAAAAAAAAATTTAAACTTGGTTCAGTACAGTTGTGTGTTCCGGAGTGGCATAGGTATAGTGATTCTGAAACTCTCATGTGTATTATGGGACTGAGCGAACTAGCAAGTGTGTTGATATTATTAAGAATCGGATCTTTCGTGGGGGAGAAAGAAGGTGCAAAGACAAAATGGAAGAATCCCATAGGAACAGAAAGAGATTAAAGTATCCGTGTGGACTTGATAGTTAAACAAAAATCTACTTCCTAAGTCTGTCCACTGAGACAACCCAATAGGAATGAGTGCACCTAGCACCTAGATCTTGGCTTCTAAATATCATCCCCTCAGAAAGGCGGGGAGGGGAATGCAGGACTCTTGGGAGAAATGGCAGAATCCTGGAAGTATACAAGGTGAGGCTGGAATCTTTTGGTGCATCAAAGAGTAAGGAAGGGCTCCCAGAAGGATGGGACCCATCGGAGAGATACAGGCTGAACAAATCTTGGACAATTTGATTGTGAACCATTGTTGTTCAGTCACTAAATCGTGTCACCATGAACTGAAGCATGCCAATCTTCCCTGTCCTTCCCTTTCTCCCAGAATTTGCTCAAATTCACGTCAATGGAGTCAGTGATGCTATCTAACTATCTCATCCTCCTGCCTTTAATCTTTGCCAGCATTGGGGTCTTTCCAGTGAGTCAGCTCTTTGCATCAGGTGGCCAAAGTATTGGAGCTTCAGTTTCAGCATCAGTCCTTCCAGTGAATATTCAGGGTTGATTTCCTTTGGGATTGACTGGTTTGTTCTCTGTGCAGTCCAAGGGACATTCAAGAGTCTTCTCCAGCATCATAGTCGGAAAGCACTGATGAGTGGTCTTAAAATCATATAGACAGAAAATAGGATGGTGGATGCAGGGGCAGGGGAGGAAGAATTCATATTTAGTGTTTAATGAGAAGAGAGTTTCAGTTTTATAAGGTGAAAAGAAAGAGTTCTGCAGATAGAATGTGGTGGTGACATTTGCACACATTACAAATGTATTCATTCAGTCCTACCTCTGAAATGGATGCTCAACATGTTCATTTATGTTATATTTATTTTACCACAGTAAAAAAACAATTTTGAAGGGACTTCCCTGGTGTTCTAATAGCTAGGACCCCACGCTCCCAATGCAGAGGGCCCAGGTTTCATCCTTGGTCAGGTAACTACATCCCACATGCCACACAACTAAGACCCGGTGCAGCCAAATAAATACATATTTTTAAAAAATTAGAAAAAAGGAATGATCTTTCCGTATGATCCAGCAATTCCACTCCCAGGCATTCACTCAAAAAGAGTTAGAAAAAGATCACCATTTGCTCATTAGCCCAGCAATAATGGACCCAAACAAGACTGATCAGTGGAGAGCTTCCCTGGTGGCTCAGAGGTAAAGAATCTGCCTGCTAGTGCAGGAGATACCAGTTTGATCCCTGGTCCGGGAGGATCCCATATGCTGAGGAGCAGCTAAGCCCGTGCACCACTCCTATTGAATTTGGGCTCTAGAGCTAGGGAGCCACAGCTTTCGAAGTCCAAGTGCCCCAGATCCTGTGCTCCACAATAAGAGAAGTCACTGCAATGAGAAGCCCAGCACTGCAAGTAGAGCGTAGCCCCCACTCGCCGCACCTAGAGAAAGCCTGTGCTCAGCAACAAAGACCCAGCACAGTAAAAAATAAATGCATCAGTGGATGTTAAAGTGATTGGGTGGCAGTTTGAAGAGAAGAAGTAATCTCAAAGAATGTTCCTACAGATGACTTAGCAATTACAAATGCCTTACTTGGAACCCTTACTAAGAAGTGAATAGCTTCTTAGCAATTACAAATGCCTTACTAAGAAGTGAATAGCTTCTTAACCAAGCCATCCAGGTGAACACACTGGGAATGAGGACAAAATGGGCTTTTGTGGGCCTCCTGATATGAGGCACGAGGAGGACACATTGCTTCTGGGATATTCCTGCCAAACACAGACCACCTGCATTTGATCATGGGAGCCATCAGACAAACCCACACTGAGGGACAAGGTCGTAACAGCTGTAAAGTGTGTGTGTGTGTGTGTGTGTGTGTGTGTGCGCGCGCGCTCGCGCGCACACGCTAAGTCACTTCAGTCCTGTCCAACTCTTTTGAGACCCCATGGATCGTAGTCCACTAGGCTCCTCTCTCCCTGGGATTTCTCAGGCAAGAATACTGAAGTGGGTTGCCATTTCCTCCTCCAGGGGATTCTCCCCACTCAGAAATCAAACTCACATCTCCTCATCTCCTGCATTGGAGATAGATTCTTTACCACTGAGCCACCTGGGAATCCTGAAAGGTATTAAGGGACAACAACAGCAACAGCGAAAAGCCTGAAGCTGACTCAGAAGAGAGGAGATCACGGATACATGGAATTATGTGCAATAAGTGATCCCCGACTGAATACACCACTGGTGGAGAGTGAGGGGTGGGGAGGGGAGCGTTGCTATATAAGACAATATTAAAACAACTTGTGACACTTTCATACGGGC